TTTTAGAGAAAATGAAAACAAAAAGTAAACTTATATTTATCATCAGGAAAAGGCAGTTAAAATTTCAGAGGAAAACAATGTATAACATATTTAGTGAGCTTGAGTAAATGGATTGCAGAACAGAGTTTAGGAGGAATAACAAAAAGACAAAATTTATTAAGAGCTACAAATGATAGGAACTTGTGGAGAACCATGATCACTGAGCGGACATAGCACATAAAGAAGAAAAATCAATCCTGAATCAATCCTCAACTTCAGTCATTTTCTACAAATATTTTCATGACAACTGTTCTGATGAGCTTTTTCCCTTAGTGTCTTAACTTCGTGAATTTAAGCATGCTACTAGATTGGCAACTGGGGATTACCAATTTACTGTGGGACGAACTAGAGGCAACCATCAGTTCTATTATAATAATTTCTTTTCTCAGACTTATCACCTGTGTAAATCCCTTGAGATTTCTTGCTTCCCTACCATCTACAATCTTCAGAAATTTAAATGCAATATCAATTGCCATCTTCCCAAATTCGGTTTCCTCATTTCTCCCCACTAAAATCTTCTCTTTTGCTTTCACTACCTGTAAACCCCTGTGTCTTAGTGACATTATCAACTTGCTTGGGGGTGAAACGATTAAAAAGAAAAAAAAAATAATTCAGATGAACATTTTCAGAGCTGGACCTGTTGTATTCATAAAGTTGTTCTGAAATGAAAAGTGCTTTAACATAAAAAACATTTAAGATGATATCAATTTTTTGTGGTTTTTATAACAGAGATAAAGCAAGCATTTATATATATATATATCCAAGTATAGGATTGGTGTATACAGAATAAAAATACTATTCTTAAAAGAGTGCTCAAATACATATATATATATATATATATATATATATATATATATATATATGATTAAATAAAGACATTATGTCTGTTTATTTTAATAAAATCTGTTCATACTTACAGATAACCTTCCATTTATTGCAACTAAATGATGTGAGAAATGTGCTATAACTATGAAAATCATTTTTATTTTAATTTCCCAGATAGTTTCAATCTTCTTCTGAGATCATCTTCAGGGGTGTATGTAGTAATGTGTGGTGTTCATGGATGCAAGAAGTAATACAAAACTGGTTTTTTGATATCCATTACTGTAATTTTTCTTTTTGCTTTCCAATGCAAAGGTTGACAGTCACATCATTTAACTGCAATACATGGAAGATTATCCATGTGTATGAATGGAAATTATTAAAAACAAGCAGACATATCTTCAATTAATTTAATCAGACATGCCTAAAAGAGAAGTTGCTGCCTAAATACACACACACACATATATATATCAGTCAGAGCTGATAGGAGAAGGATCTCTCTAATTTCAAAACTGAAGTAGATAGGACTCCTTAGTCAATGATGACAATCCTTCAAATCTTCATTCTTATGATGAGGAGAGATGAGCTGCAACTTGGTAGCCAGCTTTCAAGTAACGTTTGGTAGATGATTTGGCTCCCACTGACATGACATCACGGATTTGAAGGATGTATAGAGAGGGACAATGAATTAGAGTTAATTTTGAATCTCTTTTAAGTTTATCATATTCACTTATACCCTTAGAAAAGACATAAATCCAGCTCTTTTCCCACTAACTATAGGTTAAATAGTAGGGTAGACTAGGCTCTTTAGTCATGACTGGCAAGTTGTTCAAAACCATAACAAATGTTCATGATCCCTGAACCTCATCAGGGAGCATGAAATGTAACAATATATATATATATATATATATATATATATATATATATATATATATATATCAAGGAAAATAAAGTATGCTTCAAAATGGTTGAATATTTGCCTTTTCATTACAAGTCAAAGATTAACCATTTTAAAGTTATTAAAAAATAACAGAGTTATATACCCTGTTTATTTTTCCAGCCAAAAAAAAATGGCAGTATATTGCGTTATTAGAAAAGTAATGTCAAATATTGGACATTGTAGTGAAATGAAGTTTAAAATTCAGAACATTGTCTAAATTTGTGCCTGAGAATGTTTTAAGAAGTTACTCAACTTGGTGGCTTTTATTTGGAACTTGAGTTATCTTGAGTTAGTACATTTTGATGCTTATTTTAAGCTTTTAAACTCACATGTGATGCCTTGACACTTTCTTAAATACTAGTGACTTTGAATCTGTTATTGTTATAATGCTTCAGAGATTAAATAAATAAAACAATTACTTAGGATGAAAAAACAATGTCACCATGTAAACCAAAAGTTTACCATTGCAAAATCTTTGTGAGCAGGCATTGAAATATGATAAATTTCATTTAGGATTAATTCTTAGAATAAGAGAAGACAATTGCAGGAACAAGTAAAGCGTGAATATTTATACTAACTTTGCTTTGATTTGGTTAAAAGATCGTCGGGTAGTTTTAGAATGACACAGCAAGATAACACTGATTAACAGAAACCTTAGATAAAATCAAATTAGGAGCATTGACTTCATCTTCTGAATTCAGTTACATTTGCATCTTTAAACTGTCATTCATTTAGATCCTTGAAACATATTCTTCGTGGTGAAACTTTTACAAATATCAGAATTCTTCTTGGTCAGAATTCATGTTTTTTTTTTTTTCAAAAGAAGAAAAAAGAATTTTGTAAAATAATTTATTTTAATTATTATTAACACTCTTATGTATGTTGAACATTTATTCTGTTTAAATGGGGTTTTATTCCTTCTTTAAAAATGTGACATTACTTTCCAAACAGTCTGATATTTCTTTCATACACACCTGCTTAGAATAAACAACAAATTGTGATTAATATCATTCTGCCATGAACCTGCAGAGAGGCAAGTATAAAAAATCATTTCATACATGTTCTTGAAAATAATATGCTATTATGTTGGCAATGAATTAACAAATCATTTTTTTTTATGTCTGCTGCCTTTGTAATCTTAACAGTTGGACTTTTTCACTATTTCAGAGTGTGATGTTCGTGTTGTGAGCACAAAGGAATCAAATGGAACAATATCCTCGCCAGGCTACCACAGCAACTTTCCTTCGAATGTCACCTGCCATTATTATATCGACGGATTGATGGATAAGCAAAACTTGGAGAAAGCTCGAATCAAATTCATGGACTTTGACATTCCTGGTTCCATGCCATAGTGAGTAACAATCTGAATTTTTGTTTTTTTAATTTTTAATTTTATTTGAGAATGTTTTGATCACATTAGAAAGAAAAACATAATTGAATTTTACTTGAAAATGAAAGGAAAATAAACTCAGTGTTGTGGCATTGCTTATGTAAAATGACCTCCTAAGGTATTTTATATAAGTCCAAATGATTTTTTAATTCTGATTTTAAACTATCTATTTCACTATCCTTATAATGGATAAGTTAAGACATTTGTGATAAAAAGAACAAAAAATAAGGAATAATTTACACTATTTACATCATTTGGATAGTTGTCCTTATATTTATTGCTATATTCACAGTATTTTAACTGCTGTACACTCCAGGCTTCTTCAGGTGATATATGTTAGAATTTTAAACCAAATCCTTTATTTATACCACTGCAGTAGATTGTTCTAATTCCACATGCCATGGCTCTTTTGGATATCTCAGTTTCAGTTGATTCCTTTTAGTAAGTCAACTGTTCAAATTTATGTTTCCTCTGCTGTGGCCAACTTACAACTCTTTGGGTCAAATTACTATTTTGATTACTCAATCTATGCTTTTATCCTCTTGTCCATGTGTTCTTGTGGAGAAAAAAAAAAGTAAGTAGTGTAAATAGTTATATTACCTCATCTTAGAAATATAGACAGATGTTAAAAGATAAGGAAATTACTTAAAAATTAATGATAAAATACTTATTTTCAAAATCACTGACACAACACTCACCACAATTGGATGGACGAATTAGTAGATATTACTGCTAAAGGAGAAAGTACTTGACAATACAATCTTTTATTACTAAAATGGTTAATTTCCATGTAATTTTTTCAAGATAAGGAACAAGACATTTGCTATAAAGTACTTCTTTTGTCTGATGTTGTTTGATTGCTAAAAACTGGATCAGTGAATAACATTGCAATAAAAAGGCAACAGAAAAGGAAGAGAAACCAATGAACAATACAAAAATACTTCCTCTCAAAACTTAAAACAACTACAAGTCAATGTTATTCTGGAATGTTTGAGTAAAAGACAAACAATATTTATTCTCAGTGAATGTATTTTTTTGCTTTTTCTTTGTTTGCAATGTTAAATCTTTCAGAGGTGACTAAAAAATTCTGGAAAGAATACTTAGATTGTTGTTTAAATATGTAACTAAATTTGTTTCCTTTGTCAAAGCAAATTTATCGTTAAAAAAAATATGAAAATTTTATCTTCTTTCAGCATTTTCCACTCACCTAGATATAAAGAAAACACAGCTTGAATTTTATTTTGTTCGTTTATACAATAAAACAGAAATGGCAAAATAAGGCCAATTGATATTTATTATGCAAGAGTCATTTCTATTTTCCTTCATCCTTTTGTACTTCTGACTGTGTGCAATAAGTAAACTGCAGATTCATATGTGGCCCTCGAGTAAAATGTTATTTTTATACTAACTATGAGTTGAGACTCATTGCTAAGTGACTGAAACATTGATTATAGAAATCAATTAATCTTATAGATAACTGATTAATTCCGAATAGAATGACAAAACCATCTGCTCTTTCATCACTTTACTCTAGAGGACTTAATTGTATGGATTTTAGAATATCATATTAAATAATAAATGACATGCTATATTTCATCATATATAAGACTCTGCAACCCAAACCCATTTTATTTTACCTTATTATAGATTTAAGTTATATATAAGTAGTGGTACTCAATTCATTTTTGTATATAAGAATCAAAGTATAATTTTTGAAATCTTTTTGTTCCATCAGATTCTTAAATGTTATCAAATACTTTAATTTCTTACTCACTACATTTTATTTTCTTCCTTCTTGTTTGTTTCGGCTTGCAGCCATATAATGTTGAAACACCGGTTCTCATATGGTCACTGAAGTTAAGCAACAGCAATCCTGGTCTGTACCTAGATGGGTGACCACTTGGAATACTATGTGCTGTAAGCTTGAATGTGTAGGTGTGTACTGGATAATGACTTGAAATTGGAGACAAGTTTTAATTCTAGTCAGTTTCATTATACTCACTCACAAATACTCTTGGGAAATGTATGAATCCACCTTTTCTCCCCCCAGCTATGAGTTAATTAGTATGACTTGAATTAGTAAAACATTATTATCAACAAATAATACTTACAATCTAAAAATATTTTCTTGCTTTGCATAACCACCAAAAGGTTTATAAGTTGTAAAAACAAATTAATCAATCAATGTTGTTTTTTTTCTGTCTTTTATTTAGCTCCAAATATAGTGTTATTGTTTTAATCAGACCCAGCTAGACTAACACATGGCTAATATATTTTATTAAGCACAACTAAAAAAATATCTATTGTCTCTTGTTCAATGTACTTTGATAGAACAAAATAATACTTGAGAATGAAAGGAAGTTTAGTTTTTGTTTAATTATAATTCAACTTTGTTGATTCTAATAGCAAAAAAATAATTGACAACAATGAAATGACTGAATTCAATCTTTTCTCCATTTTCCAATAAAAATAATGGTCATTATTGGGAGCAGTAATTTTGCGGCCAGTAACTCATTGCAATGAGAATGATTTAAGTCAGGATGAAAGTGTTTCCAGATCGTTCTCTTTATCAAAATTCCTTTTTATTTCACTCCTCCTTTTTAAGTGATCATTTATCGGATTTTATAAATATCGAAGTATAGGATCTTTACAAAGAATTAAAACTCATTTTCAGTACAAATATTTATGGGCACTCCCGAAAACAATTAGATAAACCCAAATTTTAAAGCAATTGGATAATTAATTATGAAATTTGATTTAATTGACAAGGAGTGGAACAAATTAGCATGAAAAAATAAACTCCAGTGCAGGTTTCTTTATAACAATATATAAATTGAATCAAAGTATACCAGCAACAAAAATACAGGTAGCACCAACAAGCTCTAATCATAGTTAATTTTCCTGGCCAGTGAAAATAGTTTAGTTTGAATTATGAGTAAGCATATTAGATGATTTATTTTTTGTTATTTTGATTTGGGCAAATTTTATCACAAACAAATGAGATTATCTAAAATAGATACAGAGCAAATTTTGTAAACCCTAATCAACCAAACCTAATACTGTTTCATTCCTATCATAGATTTGTTTCATAAAATCTATCAGTAACTCAGCCTTACTTGACATTTTTTAAAGAAATGTTAAATGACTTTTTGAAATTTGGTAACATTTCAGAACAGAATCTTAAAGGCACATTGGTTTGAAACATCTACAACAAGAAGATAATCACAAACTGATTCTTGAAAATTAGGAAAGTCTGTCTGATTAGAGTTACTCAATATTAAAAATATTTTATAGAAATGCTTTTTAAAATTTTTGTATTTTACAAAGGTCATTAGAATAATCAGTCAGTTATGTGCCATACGTGATACATGCTTAGGCGATCATGTATCTTTTGATTTGATGATGCAGATATTTTCCTGCAGTAGGTTGCCATTTCTTTCTGTGGTAGACCAGTTGCCATCCAAGGTTATAAAACCCAGTCTGTCCTGCTATTTACCTATAGCTTGGGTGAGAGAAGAAGAGGATTCATACCTTTCCCAAGGGTATTAGCACATAAGTGAATGTAATGGATTTCACTAGAATTCGAACTCAGCTCTCCGATTCCTCAATCTGAGCCACTATCCATTACTCCACTGTGCCTCCTCAGAACAATAGGTGACTATATTAGTATGTTTGTAATAATTGTTCACTTTGACTTTTTATATTTACAGCTAGTACTTAAAACATCAGAAATAAAAAGTAAGAAAACATTCGGAAAACACTTTTGGTTAGAATATTGAAAATATTATTATAAAATTCATCTTTTCAATATTTGTCAATTGTTACAGAAAATTAAAGAAGAATAAATTGTTATAATTGTTATAACATTTAGTTGTGATATATATATATATATATATATATATATATATATATTACTCACTTTTTTCTTTTCAATAATAATTTATTATAACCTTAGCATGCCTATCTGGATATCAAAAACTATATATTTCAAATTTAACTCAATTTATACAGTTTCTAGTCACAGTCCAAATATACATTTGGAGAGTCATCTTTGTTTGGAAATTCTTTTTTTAACTGTTTTCCGAAATCAAGTATTTTCATAATAGCAAACCATTTTCAGACAGCAACTTTGCTGTTTTTAACACCACATTTCAGCCAGTACATTCTACAGGCTTCTTCAGATAGATATTCTCCTGCTCACAGAAAACTTGGGCTCTTATTTCTGTTTCTCTGTTAAGGATTCCAACGTCAGGATCAATATAAAACCAATTCCCAGATAAGAATAGACTCATTTCCTAGCTCCACTTGAGAGTCCTCTAGCATCAGACTGGGTATTTGGACATATAACTTTATTAAATTGTCATGTCCTTGTTGAGAAGATAAGAATGAAAAAAAAAAACATTGGAATTTCTAAAGATTACTGAATACAATGTGCACAAGAAGACAGGGGATGAAACATTTTGTAAGGAATGACAAAAATGAATATATTATTAACCTTCTTTTCTTCTTCTTTCTGACTTAGGAAAAAATCAAATTTATTCTTTGCAAATACAGATATTGCTCTCAAATATTAGGAGATAAAACTTCAGATGAAGAATTCTTTCTGCATTTCTTATGCTTTTTTTATTAGTCTTGATTTGATTGGTATGAATGGAGATCACACTCTCACTTAAAAAAAAAGAAGCCTAGAGATTTCCTTTAAATCATTAATAAGTTGTTCATTGAAGAATTATTGCCAACAAGATTTTGCCTTGACTATCAAATCAACTAAAGACGTTTCTATCCAAATTTTGGTTAAGAGTTTATGAGAACCTTAAAAAAAAAAGGAATATAATAATTGTAATGACCCCTGTAAAATTTTATTTACGTACTAGCATAGTAACCATAAAAAAAATGACAGGATTATTTGCATATGTGTTGGCACTTCTGCATTAAATCAGATGAGCATATCTGTGTGGGTCTGGCTAGGATCAAAATGTCATTTCTTGTCTATAATCCATTTGAAAATGGTTACACTCACACACTCACACACACACATATATATATATATATATATATATATATATATATATATATATGACAAACATGATATATATATACATATATATCACGTGACGTCCGCATCTCACGACGGACGCTACTTGTAAACAAAGTTATTTCTGAAGAAAGATTGAGGTCAATCTGAAATATCAAATATTAAATAAATACTTTCATAAAAAACATTATTATTTTTTTTAATTTGCAACTTTTTCTATATATATACACATGCATATATATATATATATATATATATATATTAAGAAATGGACAAGGTCCAACAATTTATTTATTAAAGACATTTTTTTATGTTTAACATTGTTTTTCATAGATACAAGTATTTAAGTAAATGCTCTGTTTATGATAACTAGTATTTAAATAACATTTACCGGCCTGAATGTCAGAAATTTTCATAGAAAATATTCGTTCTTTGACAGGATTCGAACCTGCATCCTATACGGAACCGTCATTTACGCTGACGTGCCTTACCGTTCAGCTACAGTTATGAATGTACGAGATTCATGGAAGATTGAAGTTTATAAGCAGTAAATTCGACCTTGTCTACCGAACGATTCTTTGTAGCCGAACGGGTAAGGCACGTCAGCGTAAATGACGGTTCCGTATAGGATGCAGGTTCGAATCCTGTCAAAGAACGAATATTTTCTATGAAATTTTTCGGACATTCAGGCCGGTAATGTTATTTAAATATTGTTTATCATAAACAGAGCATTTACTTAAATACTTGTATCATATAAAAACAACATTAAACATAAAAAATGTCTTTTAAATATATATATATATATATAAATTTCAAGAGGATAGAATCCAAGTAGAACTCAATGTTTATTACATTGGGATCGTAATTACGATCCAGTTCATGAGATCTACAAATTCTTTTTTATTTTATATATATATATATATATATATATATATATAAGTACTTTCAAAATGGACACTTTAAAAGCATATATAAATATATAAAACATATCTAAAAGGAAGTGGGGTCTGAAAAAGCAAGCATAAGAAAAAATAAACTAGAACCAGTGCTTTTTCACCCATTTTTTAACCATGTACATATTTATATGTCTTGAGCGAGTAGCGATAACTGGTTAGATCTTTCTGGCTGTTATAATTTTTGATTCACTACTTTATGATGAGAAATGTTTTTCTTTTCTTACCCTTGCTTTGACTACTTCCTTTATTTTGCATATATTTATATATATATATTTATAAACTTCCCATTTTTAAAGCATTAATAAAATTTTGTACCTCCCAGCACAGTTTGTGTATATATATATATATATATATATATATATATATATATATATATATATATATATAATTAATATCAAAGAGGACTTTAATCCAATGAGAGCTCAATGTAAGTTACAAAACAATTAAAAACACCTTAAAAATCCATATCGTTTATAATTTATTTCATGGATATTGTTAGATTCATCTCTTCAGAACAAATATTTTTAATAAAAGAAAAATAAAAATTTAAAAGAAAAGAAAGATTAATCTTATATTCATCTTTGTCATTCCTTACAAAATGTTTCATCCCCTGTCTTCTTGTGCACATTGTATTCAGTAATCTTTAGAAATTCTGATATGTTTTTTTTAACTTAAAAATATTTGGTCTGAAGAGATGACTATAACAATATTCATGAAATAAATTATAACCAATATGGATTTTTAAGGTGTTTTCTTAATTTAGCATTTTATATATATATATATATATATATATATATATATAATGTAGTGTGTGTGTGTGTGTGAAAAAATTTAGATGTAAGTAAAATATATCTATAAATTGATATAAATTAAAGATTAGATATAAAATTCAGATATAGGTAAAATATATCTGTAAAAAGACAATATGAAT